ATGCTGTCTCTGACACTAGTCCTGTGGTCTCTGTCACAATAGGAATTGTGACACAGAGAAGGCAACAAGTCAATTGTTGGAAGCTGGGTACAAACTTAGAATGGCTGCAGGGCCTGAGCTCAGTGCACCAGCTTATAGTGCTTTGCTGTTGTGCTGGAAGGTATGTGGAAGCAAAAAGATGTCAGAAATTCAGCAGGTAAAGTGGAAAGAGAAGAGAGGGAACAAACAGAAAAGAGTGTTTCTGCTTTCTAGTTGAGCTGAGTGGCATGAGAGAAAATGTTCTCAATTTTGTCACAGTGATATTTTTCCTATTATTTTACAAACTACTTAAGAATAATAATGATTTTGCCCAGCATGGTGGTCTACAACTATAACCCCAGCGACTCTGGAGGTTGAGGCAGGAGTATCCCCAAATTCAGGCCAGCCTCAGAAATTTAGTGACATCCCATCTCAAAATAAACAATGAAAAGGGATGGGGATGTAGTTCATAGGTGGAATGCCCCTGGGTTTAATCCTCAGTGACATGAAAACAAAATGGTATAAGGATTTTATCCCTTCAATCATTCTAAAACTCTAGCATCAACTTTCTGTTCAATGCACAGTGGTCAACACTACTGTTAGGGTTTGGATATGAGGTGTCCCCTAGGAGCTCCTGTTAATGTAGGAATGTTTAGAGGTAAAATGTTGGATTCTGAGAGCTGCAACAAAATCAACTCACCCTAGTTTGAATGAACTGGGTGATGACTGGTGGCAGGCAGGTCATGGCTGCAGTAGATAGGTCACTGGGGGTGTGCTCTGAAGGGTTCATGTTCCCTGTGGCCTCTCCTCCACTTCTGACAGACAGGTGGGCTATCTACTGAATACATTCTGATTATCATGAATTGAGCAACTCTCCTCTACCACACCCTTGTGCCATAATGTTCTGCCTCACCTCTAAGCTCAGAGAATGGAGTTGGCCCGGCATGGACTGAACCTCTAAAACTGTGAGCCAAAATAAATATATCTTCCTCTAAGTTGTCATTGTCAGGTATTTTGGTCACAGGGATGAAAAGCTGACTATCATAAACACCTCTAGTGGAAGATATTTTTCCTGGCTAGGACATCTCATTATTTTAGTGGCATTTTATTTTTCATTATCTTGAGAGAGTACCCTGCTTATTGTCACTGCTCTGCATTTGGGTGTCAAGGAACACATTTGTCCTGTCTACTTTCACCAAGATATCTGTACATCACATTCTGAGATGACTTGACCAGATGTGTATCTGAAGATAATCTGAATATGCAAATGGATCATAGATACTGTACAGCTTGAGCTCCACAAGGACCATGCTTCTCAGACTTCAAGGTGCATCAAATCACCTGGAAACATTGTTAAACAGCAAGACCTGAGAGTCTGCCTTTCCAACTAGCTTTACTCAAATGAAGCTGATGATGCCAGTCTTTGGACCACAGTTCAAGGTCGAAGGTACTAAACTAGCATTTTCTTAAGTCTGTAGAGAAAATGATTTGATTCCAAAGCCAAGAGAAAAAAGCATTCCCATAATTTTCTCATTAACCACCAATTTTTATATATCTGTTTTTGTTTCTAAACAAAGTTATCTATAAGAGCTATTTTTAAAGTAAAGGGCTTATATTTGGTTCTAAATCTGTTGGTTCAAGCATTTATTTTCTTCCTATTTGACGTCTAAGTTTTTGAAATTTATGCCTCTGTTATAGATGCTATTATGGAGTTTCTCGTTTGAAACTTCTAGAATCATCTGGCTGCCACTAAAGTATAAGAATTCTTTAATCAGCATAAGCTAAACACAGAATTCTGGACATTAAAGGGACTTCAAAATCAGATTTTAGGATTTCTCCAAAATTAATTCTTTGGCCTAGTGGCCCTATTTTAATTAAAACCAATTTAGGAATTTCCTCAATTTTTACAGAGCTCTCTTTCAAGTGCCTTTGTCCCTGTGGTCTTCTGGTCATTATCAACGTCACTCATTTTTGCTCTGACAGGGAAACACATTGCACTCCTAATAGAGGCAAATGTAAAAGGACCTACACTTGTTCCCAAGATCAAATTGTACAAGAGTGACATAAATCAGTCATTGACAGAAATTTACCATTTTGAAAAGAAACATGTTTATTGCCTATCAGTTCAACATAAGTGATCCAAATAATATTTAGTCCAGAAATGCATTAATGGAAGCATAGTGCCTAGGACAAAGGAGGTAATGACTCTCTATTGGCAAAACCATACTTAGGGTAGTGTAGTGTTCAGGGGCATGTGTGTGGCTGTAAGTCAGAAAGGGTGATGGTCAGGCAAAAGGAAGTATAATTATGATTTATGAAAAAGATCAACAGGCTTCAAAAAGATAAATTAAGGTGGTAAAGGTGCATCAGAGAAATAAAAGTAATTATTTTTGAAGTGTGTACATGTGAGCTTTTAGTAAAAGTTAGTAAAACCTAAGTATGATGGATGATTGGATGGGTAGGTGGGTGGATAGACAGACAGACGGGCTATCTATTGAATACATTCCATATGCCAGGCACTTGGCCAAATACATGCTAGGTGATTTTGTTCTCCAAAAAAATCCTTTAAAATTAGTATTATCCCCATGTGACAATTGATAAATATGAGGGATAGAAAAATAAGTGACCTGTCCAAAATCTTTGACTGCATACTTTTTGCTCTTATACAGGGTTAGAAACCAGAGGTTGACAGCTAGAGAGGTGCACTGCTCAGATCTCCCTTAAATACCACACAGGCAATTGCAAAGAATGCATTTAATGGACAGCCTCTGTTGTTAGCCTCCTTAGGACCTGAGTCGGCTCCCTATCAGAGACCATGATGTTTCTGAAGAGGCTAAGCAGTGACCAAGCATGGCAAGTGTAGCAGGGTCTGGACACTTCTGCCATTATGGGGCACCTATAATGGATGGTCTTTCCTCTGGAGCTCTGGTGAGTTGTCATAGAATTCGTCAGATCAGTGTTAGTCTGAAGCCTCTCACTGCCTAATTCTGCCTCCTCCCACCGTCTCCCCTCTTTTATCATCTCGGGAATTATTCTGAATAAACTTCTTTTACTCCACAGTCCATCTGGGCATCTATTTCACAGAGAACCCACTGACACACCCTGATTCCAAATATTTGGAGTGCTCTAAAGAGCATTTAGAATCATTCCATGTGGCAATAAAAGGTTGAATTAGGACAAAATGACAGAACTACTGGAGAAGCAGCTTTCACATAAGGAGGAACTTTCTGATGACTAGAACCACCAAACAATGGCTGCGTCAAGACTAAATTCCATGTCACTGTAGTCATTCAGGTCAACTGCAGAACTGCTCCTTGTATGAAGGCTGTGTGGCATTACACATGCCACCCCATACATACAGAATATCTAGGTTGCTAAACATTCTCTATGATAATTGACTAGCAAAACCAAATTGTTCAGGAAATCACACCAGAAAACCAAACCTGATTTTTTTCAGAGCTCCAATGGGGCTGGTATGATACATCCATACTTATCCATTCCCAGGGAAGTTCAGTGGTGTCTTGACCAGAATGGCCATTGTCTATCTAGAAGCATCTAGTCAGATGTCCCCTCAGTGTTTAATGATAAAAGGGGGGAAAAAAAGTTTGAAGTGGCTGAAGACCATTTCTGTTTAAAACATAGGGAAAACATAAGTGCCACCAAAGAATAAGACTTCTTTAGTTAGCATAAGCTAAATCCAGAATTCTGGACATTAAAGGGACTTAAAAATCATATCTTAGGATTTCTCTGGAATTAGTTCTTTGGCCTGGTGGCCCTATTTTAATTAAAACCAATTTAGAAATTTTCTCTTTTTTTAAATCGGAGAACCTCTAGCAAATGAGTTAAGGCTGTGAGATGTTTGCCTCCATGAACCATGTGGTGGGATCAAAACGAAACTTTACAAGTTGCTTAGGCTGAAAAACAGTCTGTAATGCAAGGATCAACACCTAATAAGTTATTTTTTGTTGGTGCATTATAATTATACACAATAATGGGATTCTTGTGATACCTCTATTCCTGCACATAACATAACTTGGTCAATTTAATTTCACAGTATTTCCCCTTTCCCTGGCCCTCCTCCCTCCCCTGTTTACATTCCTCTACTCTATTGGTCTCCCTCTTATTTTTGAGATTTTACCATACTCTTTTCTCTCACATTGGAAGATAGAGGAAAAAGAAAAAAAAAATATTCCCCTTGACTGAGTTTTGCTTATTTTACTTAATATAATGCCCTCAAGTTCTACCTGATGTAGTTCTAACACAAATTATTTTCAGATAACTTGCCCACTACAGCCAGAAAGATGTTTTTCCTTAAGCCCTTGTCTCCCTCCCTTCATCAAGACACAGGCACACCAAGGGGGGCAGACATATTTTGTGCCCTTTCAAGATTTCCATGATGGTCACATTATATAAATAATCATATCTGAGAGTAACATGAAGGGCCGGGAAAGTTTGGCAGAAAAAAAAAATCTAACATAATCAGCATAGGAATCTGTATATAAGGAGGCTTTCGTTACATGTACAAATATTTATTAAGTACCCACCAAGAACTAGGCTCCCTTGCAGGTGCCTGGGATAAAACAAAATGATCAACTGAGTTCCTAATGTTACGAAGTTTTGTACTTAAAGGCCTCAAGAAACTTGACTGACCCTTCACTGAGAGGAGCAATTGCAGGATCAAAGCTACAACCACCAATAAGGATCCCAAAGAGCATACCTTGGAGCCTTCAAACTGCTATCTTTTTCCTCTCTGCCCACCCTCAAAACTCTGCAGCATCCCTGACATGTTTAGTCTACATTTTCTGGAAATATTTTATTAGACTAAGAGGGTTCTGAAGCAAATTCATAAAGTTTACAAGAAGAATTTTTTTTTTCCTTTAAAAGCAAGCTCAGCAATATTTGGGGGTTTTGAAAACTGATGATGCAGCTGACCTACTGGAGAAAAGGCAGTGGGAGGGTCCCTACTGGTATAAATAAATAGTAGCTCTATGCTGTAAACCCACAGCTTGGAAACACAGCTGAAGTCTGAACTCCACCTCCAGGCAGGATGAGGCTCATCTCAGCAGCTCTGCTTCTCATGCTCCTGGTCAGCAGCAGCCTCTCTCCAGTCCATGGTGAGAACTTTCACTTATGTTTTCACTGTGCTTTGAACAGAAATGGTCTTCAGCCATTTCAATCTTTATTTTTTTCTTTTTTCAACTAAAAACTGAGAAGACATCTGATTAAAGGGGAAAACTGCTCAGTTGCTTCTAGATTTATTAAAGTGCTTTAGGATTTTACTCTTAGAAACTGGTTGAGATTTTTATTTAAAGAAGGAAGAGATATTGACTGGAGTCCAATGTTCATGTAACTTATATTAGGTTTGTATAGTCCTGGCCTTTTTCAGATAAGCTCCTGCTATCAATTCTTTTCACATCTCTCTTCTTTTTTCTGCCTCTCAACGCTAACCCCTCTCACCAGGCCCTTTATAGGGTCTAAATGTTACTGGCATTATCTGGTCTCCTACTTTGAAATGTTTCAAGTCCATAACATATGGTTAGGTCTGACATCAGCCATTGTAAATACATCAGGGAGAGTTCCAAATCTAACTGGGGCCGCTATTTCTCTGTGAATAGATATCTAGTTGAAGTGGCGAGTTTTTATAGCACTGAAGGAATGGATGCATATGCAGAAAGAAACACCGATCAGGTTTAGTGAACACATTTTTATTCTTAAAATACAGAGGGGTGGGTTTTCCCCCATTTTTGTTGTTTCACATTTTATTTTCATGCTTCAAAAATCTCATTTCTCGCCGCCTCCAGGAAACTTTCCCATTAATCCTTGCAAAGTTACCTGTGACTTAAGTGCTCTTTCCCCAGGATGCAGTAGAGAGCTTAGGTATACAACCACCTTGCATGGGTTTTATGCACTTGTTTCCTCTACTAACTTGTAAATGCCTGAAAAATTTGGCCCTTTTATTTATAAATGCATGTTTAGTGTAGTGGTAGGCACTCTGGGTTAAGAGAATTTGATAAATTATTTTTTGAAAAAGTTTAGTTTTCACTAAAATGCATGATTTACTTATAAATATATGGAGTACTAATAACTTTTGTTGTTGAATGAAAAGTCTTGGATTTTTATTATTATTTTTTATTATTCGCATCTCAACAGGCAGAGGGTGTGGAGAGTATAAGAGGAAAAACTTTGTATATGAATTTGCAGAAGCAATAACATGTTATAACTAGGTCATGTTCTTTGTTTTTATATGTTGGGAGTGAAAATCAGTTGACTTTTATATAGCATTAATTATAACTCAGTTGTATGTCCCTATAGTGGCAGTTCTCAAATTCTATTAAATGGAGGATCACCTGAGTACTAGTATACTAATACCACAAATTAAGTGTTGTGTGTTTTCAAAGCTAATCTTATTTTATGGTTTTGGTGGAAAATGTCTTGATTTGAGTATTTTCAAACAAACAGAAATATACAAACTAAGGCATATTTGGCTGGAAGCACTGGCTTGAAATTTTTAAATCCTCAACTGCACAATATGAAAAATTGGTAATAAAGTTCTAGGTATACATTAAGTGTCAAAGGAATTTAAATAGCTGATTCTGTGTTTACAGGTGTTCTGGAAGCCTATAACACAAACTTGAAGTGTAGCTGTGTTCAAGGGACCTCAGACTTTATCCATGTAAGACAAATTAGTCGGCTTCAAATTATACCTCCTGGGAATGGTTGCCCAATCGAACAAATCATGTAAGTTGCAAGGGAAAAAATATGTATGATTCCTTTCTCCTAATGAAAATCAGATCAAATATTACTATACAACTAGAACCCTAAAAGAGATTTACTTGAGTGTTGCTAAAAATTCTGAAATAATAAAATTTGGAAATATTTAGGTACTGGTCGCAGCCCTTGAACTAAGTGTTTTATACTCTATTTTATTCCTTCAACTACTGCATTCAGGCACGTCTATTGCTGTCAATTCCTTTATAGATACAGATACAGAAACAGAGGCTTAGCAAGCTTAACTGCCTGCATGAGGCACACCATTAGAAAGGGAAGGATCAGGACCACACCCACATCTCCCCCATCCAAGGTGTCTTCACAGAACCTTGAAGTATGCAATAGAGATAAGATCATTCTCGGGGCTTGCCTGATTTTTTTTTTTTTTTTTATTGGTAGCTCTTCCCATGGATGTTAGGGTCTGTAAACAAGTCAGTATGGTGCCTGGCATTTTGCCAGAGGGAGTGGTTTGTGAAGTAACGCCAGCGAGCCATTAAGTGTGGAGATTCCTGATTGGTTGACTGCTGTATCTAGTTTATGTTAACTAAGATAAGCTGTGTGGAATGTATACATACCTCTGTGGTCCTACAATAAACGGCTCCCACTCCTGCTGTATCAATGTACACAAGTTGTTCGTCAACCCCCGGTTATTCTGCCGCAGTCCGGCTATAGCACATGGAAACAGTAAAACAATAATTTTTAAAAAATCATGCTTTCCTTAAAGTCTAATTAAACCAAAATTATTGTCCTCAAGCTCAAAGATGTGAAGTCTAGCTATAATGTGTTTAGAGCAGTTCCTCAGTCTGCATAGAAAAGTAGAACTCCTTTCTTTTTATTGTATGTCAATTGGCATGACTCAAGTCTCTCACCTCTCAACCAGAGGAAGTAAGGCACCCTAATTTTCTCTGCTTTAAGGTCAATAGTTTTGAAATGACAAAAATTTTCCTGTCTTCAAGAAAATCTGAATTTCTGAATTTTAACCAGATATAGAAATAAAAGTTGCAAATTATGAGAAACTCCTACCAGCTAGAGGTGCAAATACAAGATGATTAGAAATCTTATTTTTCCATCATGAACTCAGAAACCAAATTGGAAGATGCTGCCTGAGAACCCATCTATTCCATGTCTTCTGACTTCCCTAAGATTCACCTACAGCAGTGGAGTTTCAAAGTTAGATGGATGGATCCTTGCTATATAATAATTTATAGCTAAGACAATGGACACATCAAAAATTATGGTTGTTTTTTTTTTTTTAAATCACACCAGTAGAGTCACATCTCCCAGTTTTCTATCACCTGGGAGATATCATTTTTCCATTGCATGCAAAACCTTTAGCTCTATGTCTAGCACTTGATAACTATTTAAACACTGCTTTCCATGAACATGACCTGAAGTGTAGAATCTGAAAATCAGATAAACTTCCTTTGAGTTTTGTTCAAACACGTATTTGCTGTGCAATCTTGGATGAGATTATTTGAATTCTTTAAGCCTCAGATTTCTTATCAGGTAAGAAAATAATTCCTCTAACATAATGCTTTTGTCAGATAAATTGAAATAATCCATGTTACCTGCTAAGCATAGCATGTGACGCATTCTGAGTATAGTATTTGATAATGTGATCCATTAACTGTTCTCACTGCTTTTGTTGTTGCTTAATTCCTTAGAGCAAGTAAAGCCTCGTTAGCTGGTGGTTCCACAAAATATCACTCAGAGCAATCAGCTCTTTAACCTCACCTACCTTAAATTTCATTAACTTTTTTTTCCTGATAAAAGGTCTTGAGTATTTTCTATAGCCTTTATTGTTCTCTCCCATTCATTGAACAAGCACATTTTAAAGATATTGTGATATCACTTTAGTAGTGAGTCAACCTTAGAGTCTATTTGGTCCTTCTTCAACTCAAGTAAAGGTTATCAGCAAAACACTGACCTCTGACACATGAGATTTTGTCAACTTGGATTCAGCTCCACAAGCTCTCACTTATTGGTCTACAAATGGTTGTTTCTTATTCCTCAGATCTCATGTCACAAATACCTGTTTAGATCCAAAACAACCCAGCTTTGATGTCACCTCACCTAGGAATAATTATTTTCATACCCAACCCTTCGCTATTAAAAATGCAAGATTGACTAAAATGTAACACTGTCTTATTTTTATTTTTGCTAATTTCCCCCCTAGAGTCAGGTTGAAGAATAAGACAACTGTGTGTGTGAACCCTCAAACCTCATGGATCAAGAAATTAATAAAATATTTACCAAAGTAAGTCACACATACCAAGGGGTTTTAGATTCCAATTTGTACTGAAAGATTTCCCTTTGCTAGGCAGTCAAAAGGGGATAATTTTAAATTTATGAGTTACTAAGACAAATACTTGCTTTTTGCTACATCTACATAGAGTAGAGCTAACTCATCCCAGGAGTTCAGTAAACTAAATTAGAAAGTAGTATGTATGATATTCCTTATTTGATATCTCCAGGGAAAAGCCATCATTTCTGGTGTGTTTCTCTAAGCATGACTTTTTGGGTTTGTTTTTACTTCACAGAAAAAAATTGTTTTCAACTCAAGCTCCAGCGATGAAGAAGATCGGCTGATGTCAACATCCCCCCTCAGAACACCTGCATTCCCTGCTTATCCTTGCTCTGGATTTCAGTTTTGTTCTTTATTAAAACTTTTCTAAGAAAAACAATTTCCCTGTACAAACGAGCATTAAGACTCGATGTAAAAATAAACTGCAGAAGCTGATGTGGGTCAACTCAAGCCTCTTCACACCCATACTTTGCAATCTCATTTAGGGAGGAAAGGTTCTTTGAAAATAATTATTTAGTAATAAATCCCATAAGATTCTTTTGATAATGTACCTTGTTTAATGGTAATCTGTCCTAGGAAGTATGGGAATGAGAATTTAAACTTCAAATATGAATTTGAATTAAGATGAAAATTGTGGAATGTGTTTTAATCATTTTACCCTAAGAAAAAGATTTCCATGAGACTCAAGGTTGCATATAAACCCAATACAGCTTCATCCTAACACTCAGAGGGCTCCACAGAGTAGATATCCTCTAAAACCCAATTTGAATTCTTGCCTGGCATATGTAAGGCCCTGGGTTTGATCCGCCTAGTACCCCCTACACACACATTCACACACACATACACACACATACACACACACACATACACACACATATACACACACATACACACACACATATACACACACATACACACATACACACACACACATATACACATACACACACACACACATATACACATACACACACACACAAATAAAATCATTTTGAGGAGATTGAGATCCTTCCTCTACTTTTACAGAGTTCCTTTGTAATACTTATTTTCTCAAAATAAACTAATAACATTGAAATATACCCAGGCTTAAAATTCCAGAATATTCAGGAAAAACTAAAAATCATACAGATGTATTTTTTTATACATTGGTCTTGACAAAGTTTTCATTCACGTCTTTTGCATAGACGAAATACCAGTCTCTGGTATCAAATTCTTTAATGTTTCTTGTTAATCTGACATCCTTCAATAAACATGAGCAAGCATTTTTCTTAATTATGAGCATTTAATTTTTTTATTAGAGCTTTATAGTTGTACATAATAGTTGGGTTCATCCTGATAAAATCATATGCAGGAAATATGTGCCCCCCACACACCATTTTCCGTCCTCCTTCCCCTCCCCCATTCTCTTTCCTCTTCTCTGCTAGAATTCCTTTCACTCATCCATTTATTTATATTTGATTGGTTCTTTTTACTTAAAGGTGCAGTTCCCTGTGGTATACTTACATAGTCATATGATTTTTTTAAGAATTCATTCTGCATTGCCTCCCCTGTCCCATTCCTCCACTCTGCCTCTCGATCTCCTCCTACTCTACTGATGGAAGCTCTTTGATATCCTATTCTTCCCTCCTCCTTTCCTTTATTTTACTCTAGCTTCCACATGTGAGAGGAAACAGTCAACCTGATTTCACTTAGCATGATATTCTACACTTCCATCTATTTACTGACAAATGCCATAATTTCATTTTTTATGGATGAGTAGAACTCTGTGTATATATACCACAATTTCTTAATCTGTTGATGAGCATCTGGTTATATTCCATAATTCAGCTATTATGAATAGTGCTGCTATAAATATTGAGGTGGCTGTATTGCTGTAGTATGCTAATTTTAGATCTTTTGGGAAAATACCCAAGAGTGGAATAGCTGGGTTATATGGTGCTTCCATCCCTAGTTTTTTGAGGAATCTCCATATTGCTTTCTAGAATGTTTATACAAATTTTCAGTCCCACCAACAATGTACAAGTGTACCTTTTCCCCCACATCCTCACCATATATATGTATTGTTTGTATTCGTGATCACTGCCATTCTGACTGGAGTATGATGAAATCTTAGTTTTGATGTGTGTTTTGTGATCACTAGAGATATTGAACATTTTTTCATATGTTGGCCATTTTTTGTTTTTGTCTTGTTTTTGTTTTTTGTTGTTTTTGATAGCAGGGATTGAATCCAGGGGCACTTAAACTCTGAGCCACATCCTTGGCCCTTTTCCTTTTTATTTTGGGACAGGGTCTCACTAAGTTGCCCAGTCTGGCTTTGAACTTGTAACCCCCCTGCCTCAACCTCCCAAGCTGCTGTATATGTTGGCGTGCACCACCATGTACAGTCATTTGTGCTGCTTCTTTTAAGAAGTTTCTGTTTAGTTCTATTGCCCATTTGTTGACTGGGTTATTTATGGGGTTTTTTTTTTTTTTGGTGGTTTTTGAGTTCTTTATATATTCTGGATAGTAATCTTTTATCAAAGGAGTAACTGGCAAAGATTTTCTTACTCTGTAGGCTTTTTCTTCACATTCTTAATTGTTTCCTTGAGCAATTTATTCTTTTTGAGTGAACAAAGCAGATTTTAAAAATTTCATTGGTTCTTTTTAGTTCTACATGACAGTAGAATTCATTTTGTTATAATTATGCAAGCCTGGTTGAGCCATTCTTTAGTTCCTCTTAAGGGTTCATCATAGTAATTTTTTCTTTGCATATCAGTCTTTTACAGATGATCTAAAATTGAGCAGGCAAGTGAGTACAGTTACTTAATGGGAGTGCTTGACCAAGAGAGCTTCTTTCAAAACCTGACATACCAATCGTGACTTCCTCCAGACTTCGAACTCTTCATCAAACACATCCTCCATGTCTCATCATATTGATTCTTAATGTCTCCAGTGTTTCATTTAACAAAATTTTGCACCGAGTTTGACAAATGGAAGGAGGAACTTAAACTCCTGTCCCTTCCTTCCCACCACCTGAGCTCCACAGCCTGCTCATACCTCCTGGACTTCCCTGCCCAATTCTAAGCTCTCTCTGGCTCCCTCCTTTTTTTTTTTTTTTTTTAATTAAATAAAACTCTGAGGAGGGAATAAAACAAATACTTTGTTTCCTATAATTGAACACATTTAATTATAAATACAAAGATGATATAAAGTGTCAAAATTGGGCGACCTAGTGTTTTTCGGTCTTCAGTAGAGATGAGGAATCATTTTCGTGCTTTAGTTTGATCCAGGTCCTCAGGAAACTCAAATAAGAAAGGCCACCATTTCACATCACCCCCACTTTATAGCTAGAGAAGCTGAGACATCGTGTGGTGAAGTAACTGGCTCAAGGCCTTACAGATACTAAATGACAAGTCCAAATTGGAACCCAGGCACGCAGCACTAGGACCCATGCTCTAATCGCCTCACTGTGCTGACTCCGTAGGAGGTAGATAGTATCCATTGGAGTAGACATTTAACTGCTCCAGTTCATATGAGTAATATGAGACAAACCAGAATTTGAACCCAGGGCCACCTGAATCTTAAGTGAATGTTCTTAATCATTTCATGAGGCTGCTTCAAGTTTTTCCTAAATATATTTCTTATCTTAGCCCATTTTCCCACCCTCCTTTCCTAGCCCAATTAAAGCTAGGAACTATTGTAGAGTGACTATTGACAAGAATAATGTACTCTATATTTTAAAAAACTAGAAGTTTTAATGTTTTTGCCACAAATGATAAATGTTTCAAGAAATAGATATGCTTACCCTGATTTCAACATTATGCAATGCATAAATGTATCAAAATATCCATGGTTCCCCATAAACATGTACAGTTCTTAGGTGTCAAAAATGAGAAAAGCAAGCCAAGGAAGAGCAGAGCTGCTGCAGCTTCCAACCTCCCCTGGGTTGAGGCACTCTTCTGTGTAGACCAATTCCAGGAGATCTGGGCCACTGAGACAGAGTGAGGCAGGAAGACTATGGGCAAAATCATAGTACATTTAAGGATAGCCTGGTTTGGAACAGGAAGCTTAAGTGATAATTAGATGCAGGAAAATTTGTTGTACCAGTTAATAGAGCATCTGGGGGAAAGCCTGAAAGAGAAGAAATGTGAAACAGGCAGAATTTGGGTAATTATGACTATGTATGTACATACACACATGCATATGCAAATTAATTAAAATGCAAAGTAAATAGAATTGGAGGAAAACTACAAGGTCATCTGACTAAAGTGGAATGGTTGGCTCTGGGAGGCTGAATGAAAGAGCTAGAAGGCCAAGCCGCACAGGATCTCCTGGCAGCAGAATGCAAGAAACCAGAAACAAACCAAGTTGAGCCTCACTTGTGCCACTTTCACTCATCCCACCAGCAGAAACCTAGGAGCAAGAGATTCTGCTTTGCCAAACAAAGGATGCAGCCCTGGCCTTAACTTGAAATGATTTGCCAGATGTTTGGGCTTCACTCTCTTATCTTCCATTTTCCATGAGTTTCCTATCAACAAAACTTCCGTTCCATGAGATGTGCCATTTTGTTGCTCCCAACTTGAGTTGGGAGTTGGTGCATGTTCCAAGGTCGTCTTGCTCTGGTGTAAAGTTGGTACTTTTGAGCAGAATTAGTGTTCTTGTCTATAAAAGAAACTCCATGGAACTGAGGAGGAGGACCCCCAGGAATCCAGAAGGGTGACATTTGAAAGAGAAATTATACCATCTTGTAACCCCCAACAAAGGCAGGTTTCTCCATGTGTTGTGTCTCTAAAGACCATCATCCACATCACCCAGAAACTTGTTAAAATACATATCCTCCAGTCCCTCCCAGCCTTACTGAACCAGAAACTCAAAGGAAGAGCTCAGCAATCTGTATTTAACATGCTATTTTATTCTGTATTTGAAGGAAAAGGATTTTGTCCCTTGTTCCTAGCACAAAACTCTTAAAAACCTTTGGAATTTTTTGATTGATAGAAGCAACTCTCATTATTCATAATGAGCCTCTGTCAACCCATAACCAAGTTTAGGCTAAAGAGATATTAGCAGGCCACTAGACAACTTCAGGTTGGGGGCTAGCAGACAGAAGAACCAACCATGTTTATATTTGGTTGGAACTTTCAGCACCCTTTATCCCACCCCCACTAAGGAAACAAGAGGGTGTGGAGATTGAATTAATCAACTAAGCACAAAAAATTTAATTGATCCTCCCAAAATCAACATTAAAAACCCTAAAACAGGCTGGGGAGATAGCTCAGTTGGTGGAGTGCTTGCCTTGCAGGTACAAGGTCCTGGGTTCAATCCCAAGCACACACACACAAAAAACCACCCTAAAACAATGGGGTTCAGAAAGCTCCAGGTTGGTAAAGACATTTAGGTGCTAGGAGGGTGGTGTACCTGGAAAGGACACGGAAGTTCTGTGCCCTCTTCTCTTTCCTTGCCCTAGGTATCTCTTCCATTTAGTTGTTCCTGGGTTGTTTCATTTATAATAAACCCATATACTAAATAAAGGGATTTCCTGAGTTCTGAGTCATTCTGGCAAATTACCAAATCTGAGGAGGCTGTTATGGGAACCCCTGAAATTTTAGTTAGCTTGGCAGAAATGTGGCTAGGCTGGGCACCCCATCTGCAACTGGTATCTAGAACGAGGGCAGTCTTATGGACTAAGTCTGTAATCTGTGGGGTCTGAGCTAACTACAAATAATTTCAGATTTGAATTAAATTGTTAGACACCCAGCTGGTGTCAGAATCAAAGGGTGGAAGAATTGGATGGTGTCAATAAACACCTGAGAAAAATTCTTTCACAAACACTCCAGGTAATTATGATGATGAAAAAGCTTGAAAAATATTATTCAACTCTCACAGTACATTTAAGCCATCTAGGGAGCTTGCTTTTTCTTACATTGGGTTAATGACATTATAGTTCACCTACAGTAAAATTCATGTTTTTTAATGAATTTAAAATTCATGCTTTTTAATGAATTTAAAATTCATCCCAGCCCCTCCTCTGTTCCTACAGTTCTGTCTTTTCCAACATATCATAAAAATGGAACCATACCTCCTACTGCCTTTTCTCTGCCTATTCTCACTTAGCAGAAGGGTTCTGAGACTCATCTGCCATTGAATATATCACTATTTTCTTCCTTATTGTTACTATTATTCCAATGTATGAATGTATCACAACTGGTATATTCATTCACCAACTGACAAACATTTGAGTTGTTTCCAGTTTGGGGCTCCCATGAATGAAACTGCTGTCAACATTTATTATAAGG